AATAACATGTTCTAAAGAGTGACTTTGAAATGAAAAATCTTAAAATAATAAAATTTTGACTTGACCTGTAGAGCAGTTATCAAGTTTGATATTTATCATCTATCAAATTATGAGTAAAAGATTTTAGAGCAGTTCAAATTGATAAAGTTCATGCTTTGAACTCACCAATGGTGATTTGATCCCTTGACATACAAAAGCGCACTTTTCATAATTAAAAAGATATTTTTGGTCTTGAAATATCATATTTGGATACAGTCAATATATTAATATATCTTGTTAAGAATATATATGCAATGTTATAGCATATTTTGAGAATTCAATGACAAAATTTTATCATATGTTGACTTGAAGTCATTAGAATTGAATTAAACACATTTTTTTAACCTTTTGTTTCAAGAGACAAATGTTATATGATTATTATATCCAAAGCATTCAAAATTTAAGTTAATTTTTTAATAAAAAATTTAGTTAATTAGATATATGAATTCTAAATATTTATCATTTCCATGTAAAAGGTGATTATAGATATAGTATATACACATATATTAGTATAATCATATTCACAAATAATTTAAAAATATATTTGTTTTTTGAAAATGTTTGTTAAATAGATCTAATATATACAATAAGAATATGGTTATACTATGTAAGATAATGGTGCAAGCATAAAATAAGTAATGGATGGTTATATTAAGTGAGATAGAATCAATTCATACCTCACTAAAGTTTTTTTTCTACATATGAACTCTTGAAGAGAAGTAAAATAGTGTTTATTAAATTTGTTCAAGTGAAAAGCCAAATAATTCTTTTCACAAAATCATTGGTTATTAGAACTTTTAAACAGTTGTACAAATTTATTCTACAAACCATTTGATTATTAATATTTGTTGAATTCAGAGAAAGTATTCTACACATTGTATTATTTTTCCCTTTGCCATGGTTTTTTTTCCTTAGTGGGTTTTTTTCTAAAATGGTATTATGATGAGAGAATTAAAAGATAGAGTTATAAGAAAAAACTAATAAGAGATAAAGTAAAAGATAAGTGAAAAGTTACCAAAAAATCAATAGTAATAAATTGTGTCTTTTATATGTTGATTTAAAAAATTTTTACTATATATAACGATAGAGAGAAATGTGTGGTAGAAACAAAAAGATATAAAAAGATAGATAACAATACATTGAATAAATAAGGAAGAACAATACATTGAATAAATAAGGAAGAACAATAGAGAGAGATTGATACGTAAGGAAAGAATAATAAAAATAAATAAATTACTAATGTATAAGAGTACGGAACAAGCGAACTCATTGAAAAAAGATAAATATAAAAATAAAATGTTTAGTGAGACGTTTAGAGATTGATTGCACAAAAATTAATAATAAGAGAAGTGGAGTAAGAGTAAGTGAAAATTAATTAGAAAATAACGTTAAGAAGTCGTGTCACTTATGTTTTCACAAAAAATATTTTTAATATAGAGAATGAAAGAGAGAGAAAAATTAGGATAAAATAAAGATATAAATGATAGATAGAGATGCAAGGGTAAATAAGAAAAAAATATAGATTTAAAGATAGAGAAGATGAAAGAAGAGTTAGAATTCACTTATACAAAACTTTTACACATATTACTTATACAAAATCTTGATTATTCATCTAATTTTTATAAATGGTTAAGATTTATCAACTTTTATCTTATAGTTTAAAGATAATTTTCTTTTTCATTTAAAAAGTTATAATAAATCTTACATAACTTTATGCTTTGACAAATGGAATAAAGGTTGTCGAAAAAGTATAAAAGATTGCGTAAGTGAAAAAATGAATGGTTAAGATTTTGTGTAGAGGTAGGGTATAAACTTAGTGTGTAGGTAGATTTTTACTATATATATATAAACATACACACACCCCCTTATATATAAACACACCAACATAATACACAAGAGTAAAGGTGAAACAAATGTAAAAGGTAATGTAAATCTAAAATAAAGTGAAAAAATATTAATCTAAGAAAGAGAAATGAAGAGAGATACATGCATTAAGTTATGTTTAAATTAAAATGCATAACAATAATATAAGTATATGATGATGAAACAAACCAGAAAATTAAAGGTATTTCATGGAAAGATATATAGTAACAAATTATGAAAATTTATCTTTATTTTTAAAATTAAATTGATTAAATTTTTACACTTAAATTTTTTTTCATACCTATCATTTAAATCTTTTTCTTAATTAATATATTTAAAATTACTAATTAAGAAAAAGAATACTCAAACATGTATTTATTGTTAATTATTATTATAAAATTTATAATTACAAAAAATCTTTCAAAAAATAAAGACAAAAGTGAGTTTAAGTTTAGTTATATAAAGAGATTGATATTTATTAGTCAAATTTCTAAAAAATTAAGAAAAAAAAAACAATTCAAAACCATAATGTTTCAATAAAGTATTAGAGAAAAAAACCAAAACACTCTAATTTCTTTTTAAAAAATTAGTTATTTTAATATTTTTCAATAAAAATTTATTAAAATAACATTGCCTTAAGACCTTTTCCTTCTAATTTTTAAACTTACAAACACTTCACATTTATAAAAATTGTCAGAATCTTCAATAATTCTAAAATAAATACTTAATGCACCTTTAAATCATTAATATATATTAAATAAATACCCAAAGGACTTTTTAAAATCCTAAAAAAATCCTTTATCTCATTGGACCTTTTAAAATCTTCAACAAATATTAAATAAATACCTAAAGAGCTTTCTAAAATTCTCAATAAATCCTTTATCTTTATCTTATTAAGCCTTTTAAATTCTGTAATAAACTCCTCTAATAAAATAATTATAAAACTTTAAATAAATACTTAATAAATCTTTTAAAGAAAACTTATGTGGAGGTTGAGGAAGCAAAAGTCCAATTATAAATATATTATAATTCTAATTGTCATGACCTAAATTTAATTTTACAAATGAAATGATACAATAAATTAATATTATTATATTTAATAATTAATAAAAATGTACAATACAAACCAACTGCGTGCAGCGCAGTTTTGGAGTACTTTCCCAATTAAAATACAAGACTGAAAATAATCAAAATTAAAGGTAAGGATAAGAACTTACAGGCAAATTTTTGAAATCTAATGTCTGCAAATCTTTCAAGTTCACCTTCTAATCCTTTTCATACAGTAATACCTTAAAAGCAACATTACAACCTTAAATATTGATCGAAGCCCAAGGATCCATGAGCGACCATCTATCAAACATTTTCACTTTGAATTCTCATATCTTGGAACCGACCCCCAAGGCCAAAGTGTGCCATCAGAATCCCAACAAAGGAAATAAGCTCTCCACCTCTACTTAATTGTTGAGCATGTTCATGTGAACTACAATGATATGCAGCACAAGCCAACATTTCCATCCATACTTTGCTAAGGAGCTTCCATATGTCTACCCCATTTTCCTGTTGCAACGTTTTTAGCTTGTTGGCCAAATTTACCGCGTCAAACAACACAGACTGACTTGTAACTTTATTCACATTATTTGTTTTTATAGACAGAATTTGTTCACATGCCCTCTTTAGTTGTTTTGGTCCTAAACCATTCTCAGTGAAGAATCTTTCTGCCTCATTACAAGTTTCTTGAAATATTTTTTCTTCAATTCCAACCACAGCAGACATTATTTTTGGCTCCACTAACAAAAGATAAAGCATGTGATCTGAGAGAATCTTACTGAATTCACGATAATTGTTGCTACAGAATCCGCATTCATCAGCACTTTCATTATTAACTTCATTGGTATTAGTGTTGTAGCAGAGTTCAGTTGCAATGTGCCATAAAAGGAGGCTGTGGTCATAACTAACGTCAGCCAGAAATGGAATTAACGCTCTTGAACAGCTTTCCCAAGCTCCATCCTTCAGAACCCAATCACCTCTAGCAGTACATAATTGCCGAATGGTTCTTGGATTATCTGCATACTTGGATTTGTCTTTCAGCTCTAAAAAGATAAATTTCCACAAGTCTTTTGTTAATGGTTCTCTGGAGACATACCTCATCTCATCCAACAAATTCTTAAGCAAGAGAAATTGAAATATTTTCCTGACGATGAAGCACAAACACTTGATGATTAAGCTCCAAAACCACCAAATTCCTCTGGCAATGATAACGCCTGACCACGAAAAGGCCTTGTATTTGCCCATATATTTACTGGCTTTTTTGATGATGTCTGCTGCAGCTTCAAAAAGAAGGGCAAGGGATAAAAAGTTGATAACAGAACCAGACAAATGAATGATTTTGTTAATTAGAATGCTAAAGCAATCTCTTTTGTGGTAATGGATTCTGGTTGGACAACATTTCAAGCAATATCCCATCAAGTTGTATGTTGAGATAGAGCCTGACCAGCGGCGAAGTAAAATTGGTGTGGCTAGAACTTCATGCTCATGCTTGATTTCACATTCACAGGGGTACCACAAGGGCCTTTTCAGAACAAGGAAATAGCAGAGAATTGAATACACAAGTCGTTTTACCTTGGAAATACTTGAGTTCTTCTCACGCAATCTTACATCAGGCATAAGAGCTGCAACTGTCCAATCGGAGAAAACCACCATGATGAAAGCTATCACTTCTTGGAATATGGCCCAGAGAAATAAACTGTATGTCACTCCAAGATCGAAGTTGGAATACGAATCTAGTTTAAACGACTTTCTTGTCGACTCGAAACATACAAAGGCAGTGGCAACTAACACGAAGGCCAGAAATCGACAAACGTATCCTTTCACTGAATGCACGAATTCGGACTTTGTTTGGAGAACCTCAGAGAAAAAGTTGACCTCAACCTCTATTAACCTTAAAGCGTTTTCTGCTTCTACTGAGGAGAAGAGTTCTCGAATTTGAGTTTGTTCCCTGAAGTTGTAATTTTGATCGAACACGAGTCCCCTACAAATTTTGTAGCTGTAATAAGCATATTGAATAACTTCTAAGTCATCTAGTACTCCACCTGTCTTCATTCCAATTTCAACAGTTGTGTGGTGTTGATTTTCCTCCTTTGGTTTCTTGAACCTGTCCTGACTCGCAAGATATAGAGCAGACGTCCTCTCAGCATTCTTGATCACTGCTGCAATAAATACGAGAATTGCTGGTATACTTGAAAACAACGGACATGATGGACCTGAAAATAACAGAACCAAGACAAAAAGAGTGGCTACAAATTGGAAAATGAGGCGATACATATGACTTAGCCACTCTTTAGTTTCCAGAGCAAAAGCAGTAATGTTATTGGTGTAGCTAAGGTGTAGCAAGAGAAAGGAAGCCCAACATGAGAGCGCAGCAATGGTGACATAAAATCCTTCGCCACCGACGTTTTGATTAATGATCAATGTAATACCAAAAGTAGCAGTCCATTGCGCAAGCATGTAAACAGACCAAATAGTCAAGAGTAGAAATTTTTTGCCTGTGAATTTTCTCAAGGGGGCAACAAGTACTAGGAAGACTTGCAACGAGAGGCTTAAAAGTAGTATCACTCTGACGTCTTTCATTACCTCGATAAAATATATGACATTCGAAGGCAGAGACATATCAAGCTCGTTGCACGATTCCATGTCTAAATCAAAGTCGCAACATAGGGCACCAGAACTAGAGAGGAAAAAACCAAAGTCGTAATTAATCAACATATTGTGTAAATCAAAACTTATTTTCTAAAAACAGGCAATGCACCTCGAGCTTGACCTCAGTCAATATATATATATATGGTGGTAGAAAAAAATTTAAAATTTAAGGAAAGAAAAAAGATATACAAAGCCTCACCAGTGGCACCTTCAGCGGATGAGGAGCTCGAATTGCAAAAGGAAGAAATATGGAGGAAGGATACGCAAAGTGAAAGAGTTGTTGAGGCTGCAACAATGAAAGTGAAAAAACAGGAAGAGCTGAAATTTGAATATTTAAGCTTGACAAATTGGTCTTATCTCTTCCCCTTGAACCAACTCCATGTAGAAGAGAACTTCTATAATTAGCACATGCCCTTACGCAAAATCTTTCCTCTTCTCTTTTTTCTCCTCTCTCTGTGTTTTTCCCTACTTCTGTTTTCCTTCTTTCTCTTCTTTCCTTCCTTTCTTTTGTAGTAGTTGGGCAACTCCGCGTTGCTGGATGTGGTGTTGCGTCCAACCTTGACAGTGGGGTGTCACTGTTTTTCCTCGAAATTTCTTTTAAATTATCAATTATTTTATGACTTTTATGTTGGTATTAAATGTATACTATTACACTTGATCCCGTCCACAACCGGGGTATCGTGCTATTATTCGTCTTTTATTCAATTATATCTATTAAGATTTAGTTATTACACTTTATTTATTTATAATTATTAAAAAAATTATTTATTATAATAATTAAAATTTATTATTTTATTTTTATTCTTATTTATAATAAAAGAGAAGAATTTTATTGCATTTTTATCACATTAAAAAAAAATAAAATTAAAATATCAGCATCTAATACTTTATTAAAATAAAAAATAAAATAATTAAATCATATTA